GATCGCCGGAGCCCAGCAGGTCGAGGCTGCGGTGGCTGGGAGCGGCCACTGCACTGCAGTCTGGGTGACAGAGTGAGACTCCAACTCAAAAAAATAATAATAGTAATAATAAATAAGTAATAAAATAAATAGGATAAAGTAAATTAATATTTTTATTTTTTAAAAGGTCCCTAGCCCCCCTACCTTCATTTTTCACTTCCAAAATGTAATCATTTCAACTTTAAGCCATTTCAGAATAACTTGCTTGTATTGCAGTTTTCTGGCTTTTCCAAGATATTATCTACTGACTTCCTGCTGTAAGAGAGCTAATCCAGTTCTCACATACCTGTGGCAGACTTTTAGGGTGGTCCTGAGTGCCCTCATCTCCTGAGGCTCACATCTGTCAAGAACCTACCCCAAAGGAGGTCTTGCTTTTGTCACTGGCTTCTGAGAGGCAGTGTGCCAGAAAGCATAACTGTGACTGGTGGGGGCTCTGGGTCACATGTTATCAGCTCCTACCACTTGACCGCCACAGGAGATGGAGACTGAGGTTAGGCAACAGGGGCAACCAACCACTGAGCCCTAGCAAAGTCTCTGGACACGAGGCTCAGGTACGCTGCCCTGGCTGGCAATATCCCATGTGTATTGTCACACATGGATGCCAAGAGAATGATGTGTCCGTGACTCCACCAGAAGATAGCAGAAGCTTGAGGTTTGATACTCTCTGGAACTTACAATAAACTGCAACCACGAGTATAATGGCTTCAATGAGTTCTGTGAGTCTTTCTAGAAAAATTCTCAAGCCTGGATGCAGGTGGTTTTAGGAATCTCTGGAGGCTGGACGTAATGGCTCACATCTGCAATTTCAGCACTTGGGGAGACTGAAGCAGGAGGATCCCTTGAGTCCAGGAATTCTAGAGCAGCCTGAGCAACATAGCCATACCTCACCTCTAAATAAGTAAATGGGATCCCTTGAAACTGCAACTGCTGTCAGAAGTGAGGGTGGTCTTGTGGAACTGTCTTCCCTTAAATGAACACAACTCCCGTGATTGATTTCTCTCCCTTTGAGTATGAGCGGGACCTGTGTCTTGCTTCAAACCAATAGAAAATGGTAAAGGCAAGGTAGTACCCTACTCATGTGCATGCAGTTGTGTTAAAGACAACTGAAGCACCCTCTTGCTGGAGTCCCTCCCGTGCTGAAGAGTTAAGTTGCTGTTGTGGGCCACCTACGTTGGGAGGCTCATGTTGTAAGGAACTGAGGGCAGCTTCTAGGAGCTGAGGACAGTCTCTGGTCAACAGTCAGCAAGAACTGAAGTCCTCCACCCCGTGAATGTTAGGAACCAAATTCTGCCAACAAACATGGGTCCTTCTCCAGTTGAGTCTCAGACACAACTGGTCACAGTCCCAGCTGAAGTCTTGTTTATAGCCTTGTAAGAACCCGAGCAGAGGCATGCCCAGAATCCTGACCCATAGAAAATGTGAGAAAATGAGAATGTGTTGTTTTGATAAGAGTACAGTCAGTGCTTATATTACTATGGCTCTGTCAATTCTTACAGCTGAGCAATATTCTCTAATGAGACTATAAGTACTTTTTCTTGCATGTTCTTTTTATGGAGTTAAAAGTAGCTTGAATTATTTTATTTGCCTGGTTTTCTATCGATCATTAATTGTCCCTAAAACTCTTCAAGTGTGTAGATTTTCTCTTTGTATGTTCAAACATAGGTTAACAAGATGTATAAATCAAAAACCATAAAAATGACTGATAACTTCAATTTATTCTCAAAGGTTTGAGTAAGAAAAAAAAAATTCAACCCCGTTAAAATTTTAAGACCTTGTTTACTAAAAGACACCAAAAAAAAGTGAAGACAACTCACATGGTAGAAGACATTTGGTACACAGATAATACAGGATAAGTATCCAAATTACATAAAGAACATCTACAAAAAAATGAGAAAAAGCCCATGAGACAATGGGCAAAATACACAAACAGGAAAATTGTAATGAACAACAATTGCCCCGAGGCAGAGTGGGTGATATTTTACTCCCTACCCACTTCCCTGAATTTGGCCCCATATGTATATTATCACATTTACAGAAACATATAAAAGTGTTGCTGAAAAACAAATAAGTTATGTTATATATTTAGTCACATGCATTAAAGTACTCTGTATTTTCCTCTCAGATTATCTATTTCCTAAGACATGCAGAGACAGTGAAGGACCTTTTTTTTTTTTTTTT